TTTTTGCTCGTCTTGCCTCGTATTTGCCTTGTGTTCAAAAACATTCCTAGGTTTTTATTTTTTATCGATCGTTACTGCAACCACAGAATTAGTATAATCGTCCAATATATGTTTCTTCCTGTTGTCCTTGTTGTTATTAATTTCTCTCGTTTTAAAAATCTCATTTGAAATAAATCAAACGTTTGAATTATATTAAAATTAATATTTTATATTTTTTGTGTAATAAATTAATGATAAAAATTCGTTTTAATATATAATTTTCGCAACAGATAATTAATAATTTATTATTTTTATAATAATGACATATTATTGTAACGTATTGAATTATTACGTTATGAACGTTTTTTTATTTTTTTATATGCAACAGTAGAAATTTTTAAGATATACGGCTACCATGCATCCGTATATCGTGTGTGAAACATAGACGATGCAGGTGTGCGCCTCGATACAAGATATATACGTTGTTCGTGTTTGAGGAATGAATCCTCGAGAACCGGTAGCGCGGGATAGCACATCGACGGAAGAGTCGTCGACTGGCCACCTTTCCTCTCCGTTGTCGGCAAACGCGTCAAGTGCAAATTGCAGTAGATTCAGCCGATCTAGGTCAGACTCTTCGCGTACGGATCGTCGGAACTGTGACCGAGCGCTCCGCGATTAAACGAATCCGCGAAATGTGGAGGACTCGACTCATGTTTCCCCTGAACAGGTTTCCCCATGCGACAGAAGGGTCTTCCTTCTCTCATAGCTTCGGAAGCCCCTTATCGTATCTGGAATCATACCTGCCTCGAGCTTCTTGATTTACGATCCGAGAGATACGAGGCTGCACGTATCGCGGCTTTTATAGCTCGGACCACATATACGACTGATCTTTTCATATACGCGCCCGAGATCGCGCTCGGGAAACCATTTCGATTCGTGGAATTTTGACGAAGGGACTTCGTGCGGTATATTGCTGATTTAATAAACGGATTGAACCAACACGCGAAACACAAAGAAAGTTATCACGCGCAAATCATCACAGCTGCAATTAGATTATAATTGACCCTTCAACTGATATGGCGAAAGAGAGAGGGAGAAACTAAAGGGACATATGTCAAGAGAGCAAGACTATTGACACGCCTAGATTTGAAACTGTAACAGACGTGAAGACGTTCGACAAAATATTATCCGTATATATTTCTTTCACAAATTCTTTGATTAATTTGAAGAAGTGTTGCTGGAGGCGTCTTGTCTTGAAAAACTATCAGCTTGACGAATTTCATTGTCATAAATACTTTGACATAGTTGGAGTTAAGGGTTAAGGGCATTACAATAATTAGATATCCCATTAAATTGATTGCTCATAAATGATGGCAAAGTACATCTCTCGATATGCGCTCGATGGAAACGCCAATTAGTTTAATCGAGTCTCATTCACGTCCTTCTGACGCATATCACGTGCGGAACGAAAGCATAATACAGTCGACGACGCGACGTTAACAAATGTTATGTATCGGAAATCGCGTATTGCACGAGTGCGCTAAATTATTTATACTGGCTAATTCGACTGTCGCGTTGTCAGCGAACTAGCTCGCTACGCAAACCGATCGATCGTTCTGTTCTCATGTTAATGAGTTTAGACATCGATTTATTTATTAAATTGGTCATATTATTCGTTTATCGAAAATTTGATTGCGCGAAAATATAACAAACAGCACGATTAATTTATTATTTACGAATAATAAATTGTTTAGTGTATGACTTGTGACTGCAATATAATCTAATCTCTTTTGCAATCTTTTCATGGCAAACGTAAAAGCAATTTAACGCATTCCGATATAATATGTGTGACAGCACCTTCTCCAACGATTGTATTCATCGTTTCTCGGTTCTCTGGGCTCAATTGATGATTATCGCTATGCATATGTAACGTCGCGTTCGATTTACTATGCCGGAATGCTTTCACTTTTGCGAGCAACAACAGCATGGAGAAATACATACAGAGAGCTAGCACGAATGCGATACGTTTAATCGTTTGATGTGGAGATACGACTATTTGCCTATGTATGCGCGCACGTAATTGAACACATTTATATTCACCGCAAAGAAACAGAGTCGCGACCCCGCTCCCGTCGTCGTTCCCGTCGTCGAAACAGCCATTTGTATCATTTCAAAGGGGTTGTCGGATAGCTAATAGTGAGCTCTTTAATACGTATATCCGCAGAATTTCTTCACAAAGAAAATCCAATTAGCGGTGCGTATGGCGAGTGCTCGCAGCTGTATTTCCCTGCACGTTCATTATCATAGCATAGTCCATTAATCGGGTTATCAAATGTGGCGAGGTCGATCGTTAATGTCTCTATCGTGCCTTATTGGACACCGTCATAAATCCCGCCGATCAAATTATATGTCGCGGTAATGGGCATTTACGATAATAATATATTATAATGATACTTATATTATTCGCGTAGTATAATATATAAACGGTAACTTATTAATCGCATTTACGTGCAGTTGTTGTGTCGGATTTACTATATTAGGTAGCACCGCATGTTGTTGTAAATAGGCAAATCGCAGGAAATTTTCCATGTATATCGTGATACCGTATAATCCACTGTATTCCCAATGAATATGCAAATCGTAGGTGCTCATCGACAAACATCGCGGAATTAAAGCAAAAATCAGTTACGCATTAATTTGATTTAAATATCACGTTGTGCGTATCGCGCGCAATGAAGAGTTGGTAAAGGGAGTTTTCATGTGTCAACTCGACGTTTCTTATCGTCACGACAAAGAAGATAGAGAGAGACGTTTCCATCGAGCGCCAGCCAACTTCCGGTTGGCTCTCTTTCGTGAAAGCCGTATCTTTCCGAGCGCGTTTTAAATTGCAGTAAAGAAAAAAATTCTGTGTCAACTGCTTGAGCTTAACGCTCTTTAAATATAAAATAAGAATTGTTACAGAGCATTTGCTTTTTAAATATAAAATGCAAAGTTTTATAAAGCACGTAATATTTTGTCTTTAACTTTTTATACGATCAAAAATTATATAGATTAGTTAATTGAAAAATTAATTAGATGCATAAAAGTTATTATATTATTGTAATAAAAAATTTGCATTTTTTGACATGAAACGTGATTGAGCAGTTTTATATATATATCTGTAATAATAATTCAATTCTATTTAGATAACATAGACCAGCGATGGAATTTTACATGAGGGCTTACGCTTAAAAATTACTTTCTATCTAAATAAGTATCATAAAAAACTAATTTTTATTTTAAATCAAATCGGATAATCTTGAATAAGAATCATTCTATAATATTGATTTAAGAATAATTTAGAATTTATTAAAGTTTCAAAAAAAGATAACCTTTGTTTGTAAATAATCGATTAATTAAAGTTGAATTAAAAATAAAAAATATTATATAAAAAATATAGCAACGCAATTCAATAAATCTTCAAATTACTTAAAAAATATTCGAGATAGGAAGCTAACGTAATACTCTTATGTACAATCAATATTTATTCTTTTAAAAAATATTGCAGCGCAAGAGCAGTGTGCAAATACGATATATTTACAATCGTACTTAGCTAACAAAATAAATTTAAATTGAGTAATATATAACTTTTTCTCGCTAATTGTTAGCGGTATTGAATAATATTTATATGATCTATTTTGTACATAAGATATTAACTAAAAATTTTAAAAATTAATAAAAATAGAATTAAAGTGCACGCTCTGATTATCATAACAGAGTTATATGGGTGTAATTACAATACTAGTGATCATTTGCAGGCAAGTTACATAATTTAATTTAATTAATTACATAATTTCTAGATATATCACGTATGATTTATATCGCTTCATAGAATTCGTATTATTATTATTATTACACTTTGTATAAATAATTATTTGCAATATTTGGAGAATTTATTTAATACTGATTTCGATTTCGATTTAAAATCGGAGGTCACAGACAAGATATTACAGACAAAAATTGACTCTCTCAACAAGTTAAGTGTCGCATCTCGACGTTGAGGAAAGCACGCGGCTATAGTGCATATCTCACAGGAAGAAGGAAGCCATTTGCAGTGCCAGCTGAGAGGAAGGAAGCGATTTAATGCGATCTCCTAGATCATTTTTCAATGCACGCTACATGAAGATGCACTGTCTATTAATACGTAATCGGTTTTATGACATAGCGAGTCATCGTGAAACGCCATTTGGAACTCGTGCTGACTCTTGCAAAGTGGAACGCGCAGGGCCGTCAATATAATTCATACGTCGCAAAGGAAATAAATAGAATTTCTAATAAAGGAAAATTTTTTAAATTTTATTTAAATAATCTGAATATTCAGATCTGCAAATTAATTTAGACGAAATAAAAATATTTATATCAAACTTAAATTTTTAAGAAACGTAACATTGCATTTAGAAGTATTGAATTAAATGTCTTTAATGAACACAATACAGAACAAAAATACAAATTTTTAATAATTATAGCTTAATAATAATAGCCTGTATTTCATAATTAACCCATTTTATAAGAATCCTTCTAAAATCTTTAAAGAAATTAATATTATAGTATTATAATATTATAGTATTATTATAGTATTATTGTTAATGTTAGAATATAATAAGCTTGTAAAAACGTAATGATAATAATTTTTTCAGAAAAATTTATTATCATATAGATATATTAACACAGTATTGCTTTTTTGTTTATCTTTTCTTGTATTTACATTTTAAAATATTAAATATTAATGTAAATATAAGTATGCATATATGTGCGAAGCAGTAATACTTAATTTTATTGCTAGTTTATTCATAGTTTATTATTAATCACTTTCTATTTATTAACAATCATATGATTTGACATGTCGATGCGACGTTTATTTGACTCGGAAGTGCATCTTCACGTGGACATCTGCATAAACAATCGGAACCGGAACCGGGCGCGGATGTAAGTGCGTATATGCGTGATGGTGTGTATACAGAGCGAGTCAGTATAAAAGCGTAGAAAATACGCTGGTAAGTTGCAGTTCTCACCTAGCCGCCTGAAATACCGTAATGGTGAAGATGACTTTCAAGGTAGAGTGTCGAAACTCATCGCGAAAAAAGGAAAAGTGACGCGAATCGGAGAAAGTGCTCGTTAAAGATTAGCTTCTCGATATACGAACGGAAAGATAGGAGAGAAAGAGAGAGTGAGAAAGAAAGAGAAGAGGAAAGGGAGGCGAAAAGGGAGAAAAAAATAAGATGAAGAGATAAAAGAGGGTAAAGAATTAAAGAGAGAATAAGGATAAAGGGCGATTTTAAACTGCCAGTAATTATGAATGTATAATTAGTCCGGTGATACACGTGCGCGAGGATCGTTGAAATAAATAATTGAGATAGAGAGAGGAAAGATAACTCGAGACGATTTTGTCAAAAATTTAAACAACGCCGTTAATATGAATTAAGATTAAAGTGTCCTTTGATATTTAAGTCCATTCGATGTGATTAGTTCGTTCAGTTGTATTGTCGCGAAATTTTTGTTAAAGGTAACGTTATCAATTCAAGCACAGTTGGGAGTGTTCGAGAGGTAGGTTTAGATTCTGGGATTAAACTTCATGAAAATTAAAAAGTGCACCATCTTGTAAGAAACGCTTCCTTTTAATTGTATTAAACGCTCCTTCTTTTCCTACTCGGCTAATCTTAAGATTTTCTCAACCTCAAAGGTTTTAGTTGTTGCATTATAGCCAAGAGTTCTATTATTTTCTCTCATATGTGCGTCTGTGTGTACATGTGCGAGTAAATACAATTCTTTCTTATATATTTTTCGCAAACTCGCGTTTTGCTTCTATTGCTGATAAAACTGATATTGTCGTGCTTTTAAAGCAAGTTTGTTATTCTAACAATAATTATCTTTAAAATTTGTTTGTAATATTTAATCTTTTATTTCAAATTTTGCGTAAATTATAATGTAATATTTATATCTCTGATAAATGGTAATGATGCATTAAATAAACATGGTATTGTAAAGTTTCATAACTTGATGTGTGCATATAAAATCTCACATAGCACATGTTAACATGCACATATTCTATCTCTTTCTGCATATTCCTGCTGTATTCTTAACTTGGACGTGTACTTATATATGTAATTATGCAAGCTGTACTTCTGTATTTTACATGTACAATTATTAAAATATATAGTGTCTATAAAATATTAACTTTGATCATATTTTTAGAAAATAATATACTTTATAATTTTTATTTATCATATTATTAATATACAATTAATATTTAACTTAAATATTCATTTTTAATAATATATAAATATATTATTATGTTTGTTGTTTTACATCTCGTTTTATCTTCGAAGACAGCATTGTTTAGTGTCAATTTATAATTAAAAATTCGAATGTCGAGTAAAAAACTAATTAAATAATATAAATAAAAAATAAATAAAAAATTAACTTTTGTGAAAATTGATGAAGTGTACAAGTAAAAATGAAGGAATACATTTCCCAACGAATCACGTGCCTATTCCGCTCATTCAATCGAGTCACTTTTATCGGATTGGTTCGTGTTTGAACGTTGACGACCGGACTCTCGGGAACCCCGTAATTAAAAAAGAGAGGTCGATGAACCGTCCCTGACTACTCGATGTCGATGTATATCGTAAATTTCTAGAGTTTCATCATGGCATCGAGTGAGTTTGTATACATAGGCAACATCGATCGTATAGATCACGGTTACATTTCCATGCAATTTCGATTCCTCCAACATCCTACTAGCTTGAAATATCCCAATTTGTTTGTCTGTTTATATGTATGTGCATACACAAGAAACGCATTTCAGTAGAATACAAGAGAATTTAAATTACATCTTCTTTTGCCCAACAATTTCCTTCTCGTAATCGATTCTACAATAAAAATTTTTTTTTCTAAAAGAAACTTATTCTCGACAAAGAAGAAACTTTTTATAAACCAGGGTATTATAAAGACCCAGGGTAAATATGCCTAGCGCTTATGTAAATGAACCCTTTGATTCATAACACGTGCTATTTACAATTATGATCGATAACTATCAGAGCAGCGAAAGCCTCCTGCCATACCGAAGGTGAGTCTCCGGACAACACGACGCCGTCGACATAAACTTCTTGTGTCACAGGTCACCGTCGCACTAACCATCGGCCTCGCCCTGGCCGATCGATCAATCGCCGGCGTGATATCGTTGGACAGCCATGATCATCATGCCTCGGTGGCCAGCTCATACATGCATTTCCAAGGGCCGGTACAGGGTCCCGAATACGAGGTGAAAGTGCCGCACGTACCTGTGGACCATCTCGGCGAGCACAACTATCTGACCCACCACGAGCATCGCCATCACGACGGCTACACGGTCGACTACGTGGCGAAACCGAAGTACGAATTCTCGTACGGCGTCGAGGATCATCATACCGGCGACTTTCACGGGCAGAAGGAGTCCAGCGACGGTGAGTGAAAAGGACGAGTCACTTTTATGCCTTCGTGACTTTCGACAACGAGCCGGGCTTTTGAATGGCCGGCTACCTGTGGCTACGCCGTTTATCCGATTTCCATCGTGGCTCGACTCTGGCGTTCTGACGTCGGCAAAAATTGTTACGGGTGAAAAGAAAATTGCATTTCCGTGGAGACTGCCCGCGAGCGCGCCCTCCGACACATCGAGAACACCGAGAGTCGGCATGTGCGAACGTACTTCTGCGTACGTGTACGTGTACGTGTGTTCGCGTAAACTCTTTAGTTGGAACTACATTTTCTTACTTGAGACGTGAAGTTGAGTCGAAGAACTTGTAAACCGACTTCAACAGCGCATCGGTGTGATATTGCAGTTATACAAGAGAGTGTTCTATAGTGATATAAACTTACCGAAATTGTACAACTTTGCCGGTGCATTCCCTGACCAAGTTGGGAATCAATCTTTCACTAGTGAAAGTATTGAAGTATTTAGTTTAGCTTTTGAGTCACAAGTTATTCAAAGTGAAGACACCGCGGGAATTACACCTTATGAGCTCAAATAAATAAAGAGACTTTCGCGGCCGCATTTCGTTTCAGGCTAACTTTACTTTAAAGAAATTTTAATTCAAATCTTGAATATATATACATCACGATTTTAATATTAAACATATGAAAAAATTATAAGAAGAAAATGTTCCCGATCACACCTTTCCATCAAAGAATTGACTTTAAATTATTCACAAGATATATTCGCAAAGTTAACTGGAACATTTTACTAACACTTTGTACATCTGCAAAACTGGAATTATTTATGATTATGTATATAGTATTGATATAACTATATAACACATTGTAAATTCTATTAAAATATTTCTACAAATATCATTAAATTTGAGAAATAAGGAAAATCAATTCGCAATATAAAAAAAATTTGAAAAAGATGAAACTGTTTTACAAAAAGATTATTAATATTAAATGGTTAATATATTTAGAATAATATGTTTAGAAATGACATTATTTTCAGGATTTTCTACAATCCCGAATAACATCAAGAAATTGTATTCTGTCTCTTATTCCGATATATTCCTTTTCGCAGGCCACAGCGTGTCCGGGGAATACACCGTGAAGGATCCTGGTGGCAGTCTTCGGATTGTCAGCTATCACGCGGACAAGGAAGGATTTCACGCAATGGTGCACACTTCCGGAAAGAATGATCATTCGGGTGGATCATATGGCGGTCAAGGGCACGACGAGACCCAAGGCCATCTTCACGAATACGCCGCCTTAGCCGCACACGCGGTATCGTATTGACAGAAAACGCGATCGCCATGACAACTATGACTGATCGCTCTTTGTACCTGGCACGAATAGATTTTTCCTTTCCGAATCGTCAACGTTGATGTTTCCGTTTGTATACCAAAGGCGACAATGTGCTGTCCGTCCAACGTTACACGCAGGAGAACGTATCGTATATCATATTGTAAATATAGTTTATCCCCTTTACATACAATAAATGACATAAACTTGACGGAAAAATTCATGACTATTGCTTTTATATTATACAGATAGCAATAGCGCTCTGCTTTTTCCGTAGAATATAAAATTATTGACAAACCATGATAGACATGTGAAGTGCATAAATAAGGATTTACAAAATTAATAAAGATTTCCGATAAATAATTGACATTCGTTTAATAAAAATAGAGGGACCAAAAATATTTTTTTATTGTTCATTTCTATTCTTTTATGCATACTCTTTTTACATTTATCGAAAACCTTTTAATTGATTAACATTTTAATCGAGCATATACGTTTATTTGAAAACTCACGTCGAAACGGATGAAAAGTTAAATATACAATATAAGCCACCCACAAGTTATAATTACTCAATTTGCGAAAATTTTTACGCTTTACTAAAATTACTCGATGGCCCAAATTCTGTTCGGATTTGTTAAAAAAAGCAATATAAAATATTTGAGAATATATAACATATCTAAAAATACAATAAAATATACCATTTTATAGTTACAATATTCTTTATCGAATTTACTCAAAAAGTTATTAACAATATTGCTATTTACATAAATTTTCATGCTGTAAAATCTGATGGGCGCGTATATTGAAAAGTTATATATATATTTTATTGCAAAATTATAGCAAAAACGCGCATCGACGTTACTCTCAAGCCGATTAAATAACTGTTACATGGATGATTTTGTTGTGGAAAGCAATATACGAGTACTGTGTTGTAGCCCGCTATTATAGCAACTCGGAAATGTAAAGTGACAATTATGATGCACGTGTGTGATGCAATTGCTTTAAAGTTCTGCCATAAATTATCTGCCGCATTTCAACGCGGACGCGACGTAATATGCACATACCATAATAGCATGGAAGTCACATCGTTACGAGATAACACCTTATTACTCGGCTATCGATCATTAATTCCGGGAAGCTGCGTGGCGAAAGATCCGCGTGCGATATACGTAACGACGGGATACTCGCGGCATTACGGCGAGTATCGCGCTCTAATGAAAATAAACTGCTCGTAACAGGGGCACGAGTAATAACTTCTGATGCTCTGAAGTGCGAGGAGATTCCAATTGCCACTGATCACGGGGATTACACGGGGTAACGAGTGGCGCAAGGTCGATCGTCGGCAAAATGAAAATTTAGGTCACGGGATTGAATTAACCATTGAATATTATAGACGCGTTGGCTATCAGTTAAAAGTTGCCGTTAGCGATGGAGTTATAAAAGCAAACATGAAAAAATATACTCCTTTTCATGTTTTAATAAACGGCTAAAAAGCTCGTTTAGGATCCTTCTCTCTTCCTCTCACAGTACTCAGCTTTCAGCTTCGCACAGGTCGGGATAATTTTTTATAACCATTTCAAAGAAAGATATTTTTTCCATTATAAAGTGACATTTTGTCACAATAAATTTTGGAAAACGTAAGTTAATGAAATTAAAAAAAGACATATATTGCAAGTTGAAGACTTCAAATAATATTCTAAGTCAATAAATCACGACAGCTGTTTCAGAGACAATTATTCCATACGACATAGAAATAGAAGAGAAAGAGAAAGAGCCATTTAATTTGATCTTACCGTGTGGACAGGTTAAGATTGGTACGTCGTTAAATTATTGTGCAACTTGTGCAATCTCTCCGGTAATCACGAAACATCATTATCGAGAGTATTTCGAAGAAAAACGTAATCCGTTCGAGAAGCAATAGTACACACGACTCAAGGGAGGTTAAAAAAAAACACATTCTCGCTAACAATGGCGCAGATGTATGCCGATGAAAAGGTACTTGGGAGAAACACAGGATGGGAAATTGTACGACGCTAATGCTTTAAATATTACGCATATTACGTTATTGAACGATGCTTCCGAGAAGAATTCCTCGACACACGTGTTGCGATGAGTCGGCTACGTACGTTCCAATAGGTGATGAATCTCATATTGATAAAATTGAATGCCGCGGGGTAAGGAAGCCGTCTAATAGTTTTATGCGCCGCTTTAAAATTTATGCTTGCGTGATGTATCAAAATTGCGCCCGCGTGACTTTACGTGCCGTCGTCGTTTCGTTTCGAACGGTCGCGATAACGACTGTACATGTAGATATTTCGGGGTGTTTGCAGCCCCGGGAGTCCGCCGCCTGCGGCAATTTCCGCAGCACCGCGCGAGCTACTAATTACTGCTGGCATCGCGCTGATTATTCCTCCCGCTGGTGGCACCCTCAACAAATCGCTCGTGATCGAGCACCCCGTCGCCGCGACGTAAATGTCGTATGCTGTCTGACAAAGGAGAGTTATACGGTTTACCTCCGACGTGATCTCGAGCCGTGTTTGAGAGCATTAGAGTGAATTTCATCTTACCATAGTGTTACCGGGAATTATAACGTTCGACAGCATTAATCTTGTAAGAAATTTAAAAATTATAAAATTCATTATTAATGGACTAATTTTGTTTTCCCATAGTTTATAATAGATGGTTTATAATTATGAACGAAGTGAAATTATGAGAGGAGTATTTTATCGACGCAATTATAATTTTAATTATACACAGTAATGTGTAATCATGTTCAGGTATGGATTTTGCCTAAAATATCTTCACGTTTTATCAACCGAATGATAACCATCGCTTACGCCTACGAACAAATTAATAATTCATATTGCTGATTGGAACGTACGGTTATCGCAATCAAGGTGTCTCGTCAATGTAACGAGGACATCGTGTATCGTGCTTTTATTTGTGTACTCGAAGCATTATAATAATTAAAATTCGAATATGCATTATGCAGCATCATATCACACACACACACACACACACACACACACACACACACACACATATATATATATATATATATATATATATATATG